TTCCGACCGGCATGCCATTTGATTTCAAACGCTTGCAATTTCCCGTAAATTTTAAAGGCAGTCATTGTGTGTTTGCGGAATTAATCTAGAAAATTGTCAACTGTATGTTACTGTTCCCGTGCTGTTACTTCATCTGCCTTATTTGTTTTCGATAACAGATAACAGAACAAAAAATATTGTGTATCATAGAGCACTAAAATGAACGAAAATATGCTAAGCAATCGAAGAAATAATTCTTTTTTAATTGGTTGCCCGATCAGATATTTTAATCTAAAAACAGCATACGATACATTGGACTTTTTAAAATATAATGCAAATCAATCTTTAAAGATTGCTATTCAAAAAATAAATAAGTACATAAATAATGAATTATATACATTTGCAATTCTGTGTCTTTGAGACAAATGTATGGAAAGGTTTACAATTGTTATACAAGCCACACACGATACAACTGGTTGTGCAACTTGGAGAGGTTGTATTCAAGATTGTATCGTTTTTGGGGCGGTTGTACGAAGTTGTGTCTCGGTTGTATGAAAAATCTAAATTTTTTGATATTTGGCATGTTGTACCATCCGATTGTAACGTTTGTGGGTATGTCACATACAATTTCATTTTCTGCTTTTTTTCGTTGAGACAACACCATTTTAGGGCGTATCAAAACAACACCAAAATGGAATACTCCGCACAAATGCGTGATTTTATTGAATGTTATAAAAGTATGCCGGAATTATGGAATTGCAAAAATTAAAATTATAAAAAAAAACATGCGAAATAAAAGCTATGATAAATTGTCAATTGAATATAAAAAATAAACAAGTAAAAAAACATTAAGTTCGGCCGGGCCAAACTTTTAATACCCTCCATCTTAGGGTAAAAGAAACATTATAAGGAATGTGGCAAAAACCATTGAAATGCCGAATATCGGGAGGTACCGTTATATGGGGGCTACACCAAAACGTGGACCTATAATTACAATGTTCCGCCACACGAACTAGGACCCATTATGACCAACAAATACCAATTTTTAGACAATCCGTGAAAAAATGTGGCAAAAACCATCAAAATACCGAATATCGGGAGGTACCGTTATATAGGGGCTATACCAAATCATGGACCCATACATGCAATGTTTCGCCACCGGAGCTGGAAACTATTATGACCCACAAATACCAATTTTAAGAAAAATCCGTGAATAAATGTGGCAAAAAAAACTAAAATACCGAATATCGGGAGGTACCGTTATATGGGGACTATACCAGAACGTGGACCGATATATCTCTTTTTCAATACCAACCATCCTAGACACAATGCAAATAGCTCTGCTAAATTTTGGCGCTCTACGTCAGCTACGTCAGAATCGTCACTCAAAATAAACGGGGTCGAGCTGCTAGAATGTGGCGTGGAAGATCCATTCCATACATTTTTTTGACTTTCGCTTGGCAGTACTGACGTCCGTATATATTGAACCGAATTGTCGCTAAAAATCAGCGGGGTCGAGCTGTTGGAGTTTGGAGTGGAAGATCCATTGAAACTGCTTTGCAGTGTATTATAGGTCAATTGATTTAATCGTCCCGTCATCAAAATTGCATCAATGGCTTTTTTTGCAAATAATGATATATATATAATAATATATATATATATATATACATATATATATATACATATATATATATACTAGCTGGCCCGGTCCGCGTTGCCGGTCCGTAGTTTTAGTCTTTAATGCAAATTTTGCATAGCATAATATTTCACAAATCTAGCTCATATTAAAATTTAAATATTGATTCGACTAAATAGAAATAAATAACTATGGAAGGAGGGCAAAATAATTTCTGAATAGTCAAAGTTAATTACGCTTTTACACCCATTACCATAGCACCTCAAATTGCGCATTAGAGTCCCCAAAAAGTCTATGTTCTTGTTCATAGTAAAATTCAATGACGATTAAACAATACCCGCGTTGTTGTCCGCCAATCGGCAAACATCACTATAGATCGGCGGGCCTGGAGACTATATGGGGACTGTACCAAAATATTTACGTATGTTGACATTTTTCTGTAAGATGGTTCTCTACTAACAAAGTAGCCTAAATACAGCAATTAATGGCCAAATCAGTTGAAAAACGTGGCCAACACCACGGTCACAGCTAAAATCAGGGATACATTTATATAAGGGTTATACCAAAACGTGGCCCAACCAATATTCTCTTGGGGGTTACAAATTCAATAGAAAACAAAATTTCTTTTCTGACCACCAATTAGATGTGAAAGTGGACTTGGGGATACTCCAATGTGGGGACTTTACTTAAATTAAGTCCTATGTGGCAATTATCTGTATGATGGTTCCCTACCCCAGAGTAGCATAAATACAATTTTTAGCCAAATCAATTAATGAATGTGGTCAAGACCGAAATGGGCCCTACTCTGAACATTTCAAACTTTATGCGAAGAGGTTCTCCACCTCCTTAGAAACAAAGATGCCAAACAATGGCCAAAATATTAAAAAAGTGACCAAGACACCAAAAATAGCTTAAATCATACGATGGTTATATAAATATGAAATCGGGTTGTACCCTTATCCGTGAATTATGATCGATATCATGAACGGCAAAATCGATTTAAGGTATCTTGAATGTTTGGGAAGATTTTCTGGAAGGATAGAAATCCTTTTCTTACTTAGAGTCCCATTCGCTCTACTATTTTCCACCCTTTTTATTTGGTATTTTTCTGATTGTACATTGGACGGATTATTATGAAAGGAAAGAAGTAGTTCCACGCTTTGAAATGAGCCCCATTAGGCTTTTTCGGTAATTTTTGTTTGTTCAAATGTGTTCGCATCTTCCAGCTGAACCACGATGTCGGCCCTGGAGTTGAAAGGTAGATGTCAGTTAACATCATATTTCCCACTTATTTCATTTTTTGGTGAAAATTTGTATATAGTGAAAATTTTTCAATTAGATAATACAAATTGAAAAAAAAATTGACAAAAGAAGAATAACACATTGAAAAAATCTTCAACTTGTTCGCTGATTTTTTACAGCAAATGTTTAAAGATCCTTATATAGTTTGTCAATAGAATGTACTTCTATTTTAAAATTCGATTCCATTAAATTATTTCGACATCATCTATTCCGTTTCGCCACCACATAATTCGGTACTACACTTCCATGTAACTCGCCATCAGTTACATTTCTCAAGAAATCAAGTCAATTAAATAAATTGGTATTAATATTTGAATTCAAAAATAAAATATAAAAAACACTACAAATGTACATTAGAAAAAATAAGTCAAAATGGAAAAAAATCATGCAAAATAAAACATTACTATTGTACATTTGAAAAGTCAAAATGAAAATGTTAATATATCACATTTTTACGCGATTTTTTTGGATATTATCCTTTTCGGAGAGGAGACAATTCCGAATTTGTATGAATCGTTAAAATCAATCCAGCGGTTCTTAAGTTATAAGCGTAGTAACTAACACAACTTTCTTTTATATATATAGATATATATATATATATATATATATATATATATATATATAATATATTATAATTGCTTCGCATGTTTTAATGTATTTAAAAGATTATTATTTGAATTTTTTCCTTTTTGTAAAATCAACTTCTTTGACCACTTTTTCATTTTTCCAATGGGACACAATATTGCAATTTATGTGACGGAGAAAAAACCTCATTAATTTCCAAACTATGAGGAGGAGAGATTAACAAAAATCGCTAATGACCAATTCCTCCTAAGAAAAGGATCATTCGTTATATCTGCGGCATTAGCTAAACAATGCCGCCCATTTGTTGACGGTATGTTTTTCAAAGAACTTTTTGGAGAGAAAACACAAGAATGTTACAATCGTTTAAAAAACAAAAACATTGTCGCCGAAAACTGTTTTTCGGCGAACAAAACGATATTACTGATTTTATATACACGCATATATAAAAAATAAGATAATAAACTGCAAATATTTTGTCTATTTATTTATTTAAGACGACTGATATATGAGACATTTCAAATTATTGGTATGTATAAGGGCGGTAAATGAAGATATGCATAGACACGTACGAAGTATACATCTTTATAATATAGTTAGCGAAGAAGTATTCGAATTTGATAAAACTAATTTTTTCTGCGTAAAAATAATAATATAATTTTATGTGTTTCCATTGTATAATTCACAAGCAAGCTTTATTCACCAAGCATATAATGGAAGTTGCAATAAGAATTATAAGTAAAGTTCGTGGATTTTTACAAGAAATCGATGTCGGTGTTTTAGGTATGTATACTTAGAATCTATCAATGCGGAAGTTATGCATGAATTACATTGCTTGACACTTGCTTGCTCTGTATGTTTGGATTTGGTCTTTTAGTCCGTTCAATTTTACGTAAACCTGTTCAATTTCAAGCTTGAAGGCAAAAATAAATTCATATTTGACTTAATAATTTGGTGAGAAAACTTCAAATCAAATTAAAATTCATATGGAGGAAAAAGATGTGGAATGCTACATTAATTAGAAATATAATAGAAGACTATAATAATTTATTTACTGTTTTTTTTTTTTTTTTAATAGAAAACTTTATTGTGTTGCACAACAATCCCTTTACCTGTGAGATATTAAATGAAATGAAAGAAATTAGACAGAAATTTATCAATTTTAGTTTGGATATTACTTTTTCCAATAAGTACTGACTTAAATTTTTGAAGACAAATAAATTCAGAGGAATGTCCAAAGATAAAAAGAGGAATTATGAAAATATATTCATATTCATTTTGTTTGGGTCCACATATTTATGCGAATCTACATTTTCTTATTTGAAAGTTATACAAAGTAAACTCAGGAACTCCCTTACCATATTGAAAAGGTACTGCGCATAAAATGTTGTCTATACCAATTTTAATAAATTTCATTATCCTAACTTCGTTTAAATTTTTGGTGGGCCACTTATTAATAATTTTTTTTTTTTAATTTAATAAGACTTTGTGAAAACATCACCTTAAATATTGCTTACGTCATTCGTTAGAGAATGAGAGTCCCATGTTTCACCAACACAAGCCTTGTTCCAGTACTTTTTAATAGTAAAAATCGCAGAAGAGAGACTTGCCAAGAAATTCTGGAATGGAAAATAGTATGTTGGGGTTATTTTTCAAAACAAACATTAATGAAAATGTGTTATACGCACAATAGAAAGACAAATGTTCGTATGCGTAAAATTTAGCAAAAATGTTCGCATGTGTAAAATTTAAAGAGAGCTGGATGCTTATTTCGATTTCTTTTAGCGTTTTATTTTTTAAAATCTTGATCCTTATGTTTGGGGAGTTACCAGAAGGAATGTTCCGATCTCTTCCATCTTTATAACAACTCTTCTGCTGATAGAAATATTAAGATGTACAAAGGAATGGAATTGGATATTTATTTCGCGTTTTATGTGCTTATATGTGCTTATAGAAAGACAAACACAAATCAGACATTTGCCGATAAAATCTGTGAAAATACGAACAAAATGGATTGTGACTATGGTGAGTTAATAATTATTGTTATAATTTCATATTAATTAGTATTATTATGTTTCCAATTTCTGCAGGAATTATTGAATACTTTGCGTTGTATTTAGGAAACACTTCTATTCCAGGGAACGTGGTTGGACGCACCAATAAAAGTAATGCTGTCGGAAGAATTCTCCAGAAGGTTGGAAAAAGTGTGCAGCTAAGAAATAAAAAGAAACTTCGGCAAGCTATGGCTGATGCTTTGAATATGAATGGGTAAACTAAGAACTCATTGGACATATGTTGATTTACATCTTCAGACATATAGAGCACAAAATTCGATGGAAAATATACATGATACAACAAAACTTAGAACCAGGCCATTAGAGTTCTATACCACAATATTGAGCAACTACAAATCCATTTCGAAAACCATATTCAGCATCACGATTCCCCATTGGACGGGATACTTTTTCCAAAACACAGTTCTAGGCCGAAGTATTCCGTATACACCAAAGTCTGTCTTTTTGTACACGGTTTTGATATAACACGGTTTGAAAATTGAATATTTGTAATTTATTTACACGATTTTATTCCATTTAGCACGATTTGAAATTTTATGTACTTAAATTTTTTTGTCAAATTTAATTTTTGCGAAGTATGTTCATATCACAAAAAAGTATTTATGAAAGAAAAAAGTCTGAAACCATCGATAATTTGCGAACACTAGCTTTAAGATTTAAGTGAATTCCGTAGACGTAGAGCGCCAAAATTTAGCAGAGGTATTTGCATTTTGTCTAGGATGGTTGGTATTGAAAATGAGATATATCGGTCCACGTTCTGGTGTAGTCCCCATATAACGGTACCTCCGGATATTCGGTATTTTAGTTTTTTTTTGCCACATTTATTCACGGATTTGTCAAAAAATTGGTATTTGTTCGTATATATATATATATATATATATATATATATTATAATTGCTTCGCATGTTTTAATGTATTTAAAAGATTATTATTTGAATTTTTTCCTTTTTGTAAAATCAACTTCTTTGACCACTTTTTCATTTTTCCAATGGGACACAATATTGCAATTTATGTGACGGAGAAAAAACCTCATTAATTTCCAATCTATGAGGAGGAGAGATTAACAAAAATCGCTAATGACCAATTCCTCCTAAGAAAAGGATCATTCGTTATATCTGCCGCATTAGCTAAACAATGCCGCCCATTTGTTGACGGTATGTTTTTCAAAGAACTTTTTGGAGAGAAAACACAAGAATGTTACAATCGTTTAAAAAACAAAAACATTGTCGCCGAAAACTGTTTTTCGGCGAACAAAACGATATTACTGATTTTATATACACGCATATATAAAAAATAAGATAATAAACTGCAAATATTTTGTCTATTTATTTATTTAAGACGACTGATATATGAGACATTTCAAAATTATTGGTATGTATAAGGGCGGTAAATGAAGATATGCATAGACACGTACGAAGTATACATCTTTATAATATAGTTAGCGAAGAAGTATTCGAATTTGATAAAACTAATTTTTTCTGCGTAAAAATAATAATATAATTTTATGTGTTTCCATTGTATAATTCACAAGCAAGCTTTATTCACCAAGCATATAATGGAAGTTGCAATAAGAATTATAAGTAAAGTTCGTGGATTTTTACAAGAAATCGATGTCGGTGTTTTAGGTATGTATACTTAGAATCTATCAATGCGGAAGTTATGCATGAATTACATTGCTTGACACTTGCTTGCTCTGTATGTTTGGATTTGGTCTTTTAGTCCGTTCAATTTTACGTAAACCTGTTCAATTTCAAGCTTGAAGGCAAAAATAAATTCATATTTGACTTAATAATTTGGTGAGAAAACTTCAAATCAAATTAAAATTCATATGGAGGAAAAAGATGTGGAATGCTACATTAATTAGAAATATAATAGAAGACTATAATAATTTATTTACTGTTTTTTTTTTTTTTTTTAATAGAAAACTTTATTGTGTTGCACAACAATCCCTTTACCTGTGAGATATTAAATGAAATGAAAGAAATTAGACAGAAATTTATCAATTTTAGTTTGGATATTACTTTTTCCAATAAGTACTGACTTAAATTTTTGAAGACAAATAAATTCAGAGGAATGTCCAAAGATAAAAAGAGGAATTATGAAAATATATTCATATTCATTTTGTTTGGGTCCACATATTTATGCGAATCTACATTTTCTTATTTGAAAGTTATACAAAGTAAACTCAGGAACTCCCTTACCATATTGAAAAGGTACTGCGCATAAAATGTTGTCTATACCAATTTTAATAAATTTCATTATCCTAACTTCGTTTAAATTTTTGGTGGGCCACTTATTAATAATTTTTTTTTTTAATTTAATAAGACTTTGTGAAAACATCACCTTAAATATTGCTTACGTCATTCGTTAGAGAATGAGAGTCCCATGTTTCACCAACACAAGCCTTGTTCCAGTACTTTTTAATAGTAAAAATCGCAGAAGAGAGACTTGCCAAGAAATTCTGGAATGGAAAATAGTATGTTGGGGTTATTTTTCAAAACAAACATTAATGAAAATGTGTTATACGCACAATAGAAAGACAAATGTTCGTATGCGTAAAATTTAGCAAAAATGTTCGCATGTGTAAAATTTAAAGAGAGCTGGATGCTTATTTCGATTTCTTTTAGCGTTTTATTTTTTAAAATCTTGATCCTTATGTTTGGGGAGTTACCAGAAGGAATGTTCCGATCTCTTCCATCTTTATAACAACTCTTCTGCTGATAGAAATATTAAGATGTACAAAGGAATGGAATTGGATATTTATTTCGCGTTTTATGTGCTTATATGTGCTTATAGAAAGACAAACACAAATCAGACATTTGCCGATAAAATCTGTGAAAATACGAACAAAATGGATTGTGACTATGGTGAGTTAATAATTATTGTTATAATTTCATATTAATTAGTATTATTATGTTTCCAATTTCTGCAGGAATTATTGAATACTTTGCGTTGTATTTAGGAAACACTTCTATTCCAGGGAACGTGGTTGGACGCACCAATAAAAGTAATGCTGTCGGAAGAATTCTCCAGAAGGTTGGAAAAAGTGTGCAGCTAAGAAATAAAAGAAACTTCGGCAAGCTATGGCTGATGCTTTGAATATGAATGGGGTAAACTAAGAACTCATTGGACATATGTTGATTTACATCTTCAGACATATAGAGCACAAAATTCGATGGAAAATATACATGATACAACAAAACTTAGAACCAGGCCATTAGAGTTCTATACCACAATATTGAGCAACTACAAATCCATTTCGAAAACCATATTCAGCATCACGATTCCCCATTGGACGGGATACTTTTTCCAAAACACAGTTCTAGGCCGAAGTATTCCGTATACACCAAAGTCTGTCTTTTTGTACACGGTTTTGATATAACACGGTTTGAAAATTGAATATTTGTAATTTATTTACACGATTTTATTCCATTTAGCACGATTTGAAATTTTATGTACTTAAATTTTTTTGTCAAATTTAATTTTTGCGAAGTATGTTCATATCACAAAAAAGTATTTATGAAAGAAAAAAGTCTGAAACCATCGATAATTTGCGAACACTAGCTTTAAGATTTAAGTGAATTCCGTAGACGTAGAGCGCCAAAATTTAGCAGAGGTATTTGCATTTTGTCTAGGATGGTTGGTATTGAAAATGAGATATATCGGTCCACGTTCTGGTGTAGTCCCCATATAACGGTACCTCCGGATATTCGGTATTTTAGTTTTTTTTGCCACATTTATTCACGGATTTGTCAAAAAAATTGGTATTTGTTCGTATATATATATATATATATATATATATATATAATAATATATATATATATATATATATATATATATTATATATATATATATATATATATATATATATATATATATATATATATATATATATTTATATATATATATATATATATATATATATATATATATAATATATATATATATATATATATATAATATATTATAATTGCTTCGCATGTTTTAATGTATTTAAAAGATTATTATTTGAATTTTTTCCTTTTTGTAAAATCAACTTCTTTGACCACTTTTTCATTTTTTCCAATGGGACACAATATTGCAATTTATGTGACGGAGAAAAAACCTCATTAATTTCCAATCTATGAGGAGGAGAGATTAACAAAAATCGCTAATGACCAATTCCTCCTAAGAAAAGGATCATTCGTTATATCTGCGGCATTAGCTAAACAATGCCGCCCATTGTTGACGGTATGTTTTTCAAAGAACTTTTTGGAGAGAAAACACAAGAATGTTACAATCGTTTAAAAAACAAAAACATTGTCGCCGAAAACTGTTTTTCGGCGAACAAAACGATATTACTGATTTTATATACACGCATATATAAAAAATAAGATAATAAACTGCAAATATTTTGTCTATTTATTTATTTAAGACGACTGATATATGAGACATTTCAAAATTATTGGTATGTATAAGGGCGGTAAATGAAGATATGCATAGACACGTACGAAGTATACATCTTTATAATATAGTTAGCGAAGAAGTATTCGAATTTGATAAAACTAATTTTTTCTGCGTAAAAATAATAATATAATTTTATGTGTTTCCATTGTATAATTCACAAGCAAGCTTTATTCACCAAGCATATAATGGAAGTTGCAATAAGAATTATAAGTAAAGTTCGTGGATTTTTACAAGAAATCGATGTCGGTGTTTTAGGTATGTATACTTAGAATCTATCAATGCGGAAGTTATGCATGAATTACATTGCTTGACACTTGCTTGCTCTGTATGTTTGGATTTGGTCTTTTAGTCCGTTCAATTTTACGTAAACCTGTTCAATTTCAAGCTTGAAGGCAAAAATAAATTCATATTTGACTTAATAATTTGGTGAGAAAACTTCAAATCAAATTAAAATTCATATGGAGGAAAAAGATGTGGAATGCTACATTAATTAGAAATATAATAGAAGACTATAATAATTTATTTACTGTTTTTTTTTTTTTTTTTAATAGAAAACTTTATTGTGTTGCACAACAATCCCTTTACCTGTGAGATATTAAATGAAATGAAAGAAATTAGACAGAAATTTATCAATTTTAGTTTGGATATTACTTTTTCCAATAAGTACTGACTTAAATTTTTGAAGACAAATAAATTCAGAGGAATGTCCAAAGATAAAAGAGGAATTATGAAAATATATTCATATTCATTTTGTTTGGGTCCACATATTTATGCGAATCTACATTTTCTTATTTGAAAGTTATACAAAGTAAACTCAGGAACTCCCTTACCATATTGAAAAGGTACTGCGCATAAAATGTTGTCTATACCAATTTTAATAAATTTCATTATCCTAACTTCGTTTAAATTTTTGGTGGGCCACTTATTAATAATTTTTTTTTTTTTAATTTAATAAGACTTTGTGAAAACATCACCTTAAATATTGCTTACGTCATTCGTTAGAGAATGAGAGTCCCATGTTTCACCAACACAAGCCTTGTTCCAGTACTTTTTAATAGTAAAAATCGCAGAAGAGAGACTTGCCAAGAAATTCTGGAATGGAAAATAGTATGTTGGGGTTATTTTTCAAAACAAACATTAATGAAAATGTGTTATACGCACAATAGAAAGACAAATGTTCGTATGCGTAAAATTTAGCAAAAATGTTCGCATGTGTAAAATTTAAAGAGAGCTGGATGCTTATTTCGATTTCTTTTAGCGTTTTATTTTTTAAAATCTTGATCCTTATGTTTGGGGAGTTACCAGAAGGAATGTTCCGATCTCTTCCATCTTTATAACAACTCTTCTGCTGATAGAAATATTAAGATGTACAAAGGAATGGAATTGGATATTTATTTCGCGTTTTATGTGCTTATATGTGCTTATAGAAAGACAAACACAAATCAGACATTTGCCGATAAAATCTGTGAAAATACGAACAAAATGGATTGTGACTATGGTGAGTTAATAATTATTGTTATAATTTCATATTAATTAGTATTATTATGTTTCCAATTTCTGCAGGAATTATTGAATACTTTGCGTTGTATTTAGGAAACACTTCTATTCCAGGGAACGTGGTTGGACGCACCAATAAAAGTAATGCTGTCGGAAGAATTCTCCAGAAGGTTGGAAAAAGTGTGCAGCTAAGAAATAAAAAGAAACTTCGGCAAGCTATGGCTGATGCTTTGAATATGAATGGGGTAAACTAAGAACTCATTGGACATATGTTGATTTACATCTTCAGACATATAGAGCACAAAATTCGATGGAAAATATACATGATACAACAAAACTTAGAACCAGGCCATTAGAGTTCTATACCACAATATTGAGCAACTACAAATCCATTTCGAAAACCATATTCAGCATCACGATTCCCCATTGGACGGGATACTTTTTCCAAAACACAGTTCTAGGCCGAAGTATTCCGTATACACCAAAGTCTGTCTTTTTGTACACGGTTTTGATATAACACGGTTTGAAAATTGAATATTTGTAATTTATTTACACGATTTTATTCCATTTAGCACGATTTGAAATTTTATGTACTTAAATTTTTTTGTCAAATTTAATTTTTGCGAAGTATGTTCATATCACAAAAAAGTATTTATGAAAGAAAAAAGTCTGAAACCATCGATAATTTGCGAACACTAGCTTTAAGATTTAAGTGAATTCCCCTTTAGCGCGTACAAACAATTTTTACTGGTCAAAGCAAATGTGAATAGCACTATGTGCATACAATAAAATTTACTGGTCAGAGCAATTGAAACGTGTTAATATTTTGTGAACTGTTAATGCAATAAGACGTGTTTGGTAAAGAAAAAAAATAAAAATTCTTGTTTTTCACTAATTTTAATAGGTTTTAGAGATTAGGAACAAATCACCCATTTTTTCATTACGATGTACCAAACTTGGACCAAATCGGAACTACCCTTCAAGAGTTATCGTGTGAACCAGCCAGAAGGACAGACGCACGGAAATCGCTAGATTTGGTCCAAAGAGACTAAGGGTCTTAACCCGTTATTTCGATTGGGCATGTGTTGGCCGTATCAAATAATATGTAGGTAAATAATAAATGGTTTTAAAGTTGCAAGTTTTTCGTTTTCTGGAGAAGCTAAATATGAAGAGGAACTAGATACGAAGTTTAACTCAAGACAAATGAGCTTATTTCGCCGAATTTCAAAAAAAAAAAAACTAAAAATTTGATTTGTCTTATCTATTTTGTGACACCTGTTTTATTTTTGTTGTAATTTATATTTACTTTAAATTATTTCCGATTTATATTTCAGGTAACAATCTGTAATAGCATGTTTCCATTGGAAACCGAACAACGTTGTTCGCTCTCAGAATTAGGTACACGAATTAACCCGTTCATACGGCACGATTCGTAATTCATAGTAAAATAATTCCTTTTTTCAAAAAAATTGTTTGTTGATTTTAAAGGGAATGTATACGAAAATACATGAAATTCTCACTAATATGAATATAAGAAATTATTGATTTTCTCCCAAAGATTTATTATATCATTAATTTTACAATTTTCATTCACGTTTTCAGCTTTTTGTGTAAATGTTGACATTTTGAACGTATTTTTGTGTTTTTCCATTTTTAAATTCTGCTGGAGAGACACTTGTCAAACATTTTTTCTGCCGATAGAAACATTTTGAAAATATTGATTATTTTGTTTGCAGTTTTCTGTAGAAATTTTAACTCGTGGACCAAATGCGTACCTCGAATGAGAGAGAAAACAAAATTTACTTTCGTTTGAATGTACATACGCCATTCAACATTGTAGTTTTCATTCATAATTTTCAGTCTTCCCAAAAATTTTTAAAATTTCATTAAATTTTTCTTTTTATAATTTTTAAATGTCATAATTTATTTTTTCGATAAATTCTCTCATTTGTTAGGGATGGGACATATTTTTTTGTTGTTCTGAGAGTGATTTGATTTGAACAACGTACAAATATGAGTGTTCGCTCAGGAAATTTTGTGTGAAGAATTAGGTAGTTTTTTCATAGTTAAGGGTCAAACAACGAATAGAGAGCGAATCAAGTGCAGTGGAAACGCCACCTAAAATGTTGTATAAAACCAAATAATTTTGTGTCATAAATTGTTGAATCTTAAGAAACAAAATGAAAACTATAAATTTTTAGAGTATGTAAAGTAATATGTGATGTATCCTAAGATCTACAGTAGAATTTTATGACAAATAAATTTAGTGTTTATAGGGAATTTTCAGCCATATTTCCAAGGACCAAAAAGGACCCTTTGTTGACACGCTTTAGGATTAACATTTCTTACGAAAAATTTCTATAATATTCCAAACGACATTATCACATCAATGGATTCCAAGGTATTTAATTCGAGATGTTTCAAAAGCGTCGATACGATGACGATGTGTGAAAAGAGATTCTAATTATTCATTCAAGTGAGCAAATAACTGTGTTCTAATTTGTTTACGATTCTGAACCTCAGATTCCAAAGACACTGACGATGACGATTGGTTGTATTTATAACATTTGAGAAAAACTTGGTATTTCTTTTTTCACACCTCTTCCAAATTAATCTTTGCCACTAATTAAAAAAAAAACATTTTGGTTAGCTTTTGACTAAAAGGTATTGCAGCATTAGTGTTCTTTTTGTTTCCTACACCCTTGTATCGTTTGTATTTTTATTCTGGTTCAACCGAGTAGTCGATTAATGATGTGATCGATTTTTGACTTAAATAGAGGTGCCTAGCTCTCCTCTTCCGCATTTTATGAAATTCTAGAATTAAGGTTCCTCGGAATCCTTTCTTTTTAGGTGTATGGTGTCTTGGACACTATTGCAGATAACAATACGATGATTATTTATTTGTCATAAAACTCTACTGTAGGACCCCGAAGACATCAAATGCCTAAATCTTAACTTTAGGAATTCCTAATTATTAAAAGTACATGTTAGGGTCGTACTTTTTTTGTACATAATACCGCCATTAGTCATCAATGAAAAAAATCTATATTTACATATTGTGTGTCAAAAAAATATTTACATCTAATAGGGATTTGGAAATCTATAATTGATTTTCCAAGTTTGGTGTAAAAGGTAAAACTCGAATTTTTGATTCTAGATTACGTGAATATGGGGGTGTGTGAAGTTAGCAACGACGCAAACTTTCGATAACAACGAGTTATCGAAATTCACAGGTTGACACAAAACAGCCCCATTTCTCTTTTAGTAACTTTTTTTCAAAGGTGCTGATGAAAATAATAAAAACAAATAAAAAAACCAGTAAAGAAAGTCCTAAAGTCGGGCGGGCCGATTTTATGATACCCTACACCACTTTGCTAATTTAGTTGAGCTCCACTTAATAATTAAAAGTTTTTATGGGAGAATTCAATCATACACGCTATGATTATAATTTAAAATTCAAAGGACTAAATATGCCGAAGCATTTGTATCTTTTAATTTCGGACTTGTATTGCTCATTTGGTGCGAAATTAATTTGAAATCGGATAAAAATATATATGGGAACTATATCCAAATCTGAACCGATCTCGATAAAATTTGGCAAAGATATTTCTGAGCTGTATTTGATATATTTCCCTGAATATCGTTCTTACGGAGTGCATATTATGGCTGTGGGTAACAAATACAATAAATCGGATGAACAATATATATGGGAGCTATAACTATATCTGAACCGATCTTCACCAAATTTAGCATACTACCTTCTACACTAAATTCGGTCGTATGTGCCAAATTCCATTCCATTTGGACAAATTTTAGACTTTTGGTGCACAATAAATGGTAAATCGGACGAAGTTCAAATGGGAGCTATATCCAAATCTGAACCGATCTCGATAAAATTTAGCAAAGGTATTTCTGAGCTGCATTTGATATATTTCCCCAAATATTGTTGTTACAGAGTGCATATTACGGCTGCGGAGGACAAAAATAACAAATCGGATGAACAATATATATGGTAGCTATTGCTCCCATCTGAACCGATTTCTTATTTTCAGGCCTAATTTGGTTGTATGTGCAAAATTCCATAATATTCGGGCTGATATTACACGTTTGGTGCACAATAAAAGGCAAATCGGACGAAGATATATATGGGAGCTATATCTAAATTTTTACCGATTATCTCCAATTTCAATAGGGTTCGTCCTTGGGCCAAACAAATGTTGTTTGCAAAATTTCATCTCAATCGGATAATAAATGCGACCTGCATTTTGTTCACAAGAATACATGGACAGACGGACTGACATGCATAAATCAACTCAGAAAGTGATTCTATGCAGATCATCAAAAGGAACTATGGGTCTATCTCGTTTCCTTTTTCCTGTTACAAACAAATGCACCTGACCACCTTGTGGTGTAGGGTATAATAATAGTGCAAAATCAGTTTTTGGTAGAACAAAGTTGGAGGTTTTCTGATTTCCAACCTGTGGTCAGGACAGAAGATCGGCTCTGGAGGTCTTTACGAACATTTTCGTTATGTTACAAATGTTTTATTAGCATTGTTGAACCACTTGTTATACCCTCCAACATAGTATAAAGGGTATATTAAGTTTGTCATCCTGTTTGTAACACCTCAAAATATACATTTTAGACCCACATAGTATATATGTAGCCTTGATCAGCATAAAATTCTATGTCGATTTATCAATGTCCGTCCGTCTGTGGAAATCACTCTAGCTTCCGCACGAAATGAAGTAAGTTGATAAAAATTTATACAAATGTGTATTATGTCTGCAGGACTTTCGGTATTGAAAATGAGCCATGTAGGTCCACGTCTTCGTGTAGCCCCCATATAACGGTTGATGATTTTAGCGACATTATTTACCGGAATTGTTTCAAATTTGGTATTTGAATTTCGCAATGGTTACTACAGCATAATACAGGAGATTGTCTGTGCAGATTCACTTCTTCGTATAACCCCATATAACGGTACCCCCGATATTCGGTATTTTGATGATTTTAGCGACATTATTCACCGGAATTGTTTCAAATTTGGTATTTGAAGTTCGTAATGGATACTACCGCCTAAGTATAGCCCCCATATTACGGTACCACCGATATTCGGTATTTGGATGATTTTAGCGACATTATTTACCGGAATTATTTCAAATTTTGTATTTGAAGTTCGTAATGGATACTGCAGCCTATGTCCGAAAATTGTCTGTGCAGGTCCACGTATGGTACCTCCCTATATTCGGTATTTTATTTATTTTAGCTACATTATAAACAGATTTTTTTCAAGTTAAGCATTTTAATATTATAATAGCTTATGACAAAATTTGCCTATGCGGGTCGTATAGACCCTAATATACGGCTACATTCGGTATTTCTAAGATTTTAACAGAATTTTTAATGGATTTTATTTTTTGAAAATTGCCTATTTGTACCAAATGGGATAGTATTCAAAGTTCTGCCCGGCCGAACTTACAGCACACATTGTTGGATTTTTCGTTTGATATGCGAAGAAAATCTTGCAAAAGTTTTCACAAGTAATTCACAGTCGAAATACCTACATTCTTTAAGTAGTACCTTTTTTGTTGTTGTTTCTTCAGGTAACTTTTCCACAAGTCTCACGCTTCTTTTTGGCTTTTGATACAGACTTACAGAACTCTGGTATCTAACGTCAAATACTTCCTCAGACGTTCCATCAAGGTATTCATTGCTTATGAGGGAGCTCTGAAAATAAAATCATTTGCCAATAACAAATATATGTAAGTAACATATTTAGAATTTTAATTGTAGCAACTGGTGGACTTGCATATCAAAATTATAATTCTCACAAAATCAAGACGTATTTTCCATTCGCAAATCGTAAGTACTAATATGAATATCTTGTTCTATGAATATACATGTGTTAAAATTAATACTT